GGAACACCCCCAAAGGTGACCAAAACAGCTGTTGGTGTAAACGCAGCTGTCCTTTCGTCCAATAGCGTATTTTGGTCTTGGTCATCGATGGGGGCGGGTCCCTCCGAAGCAGAAGTTTCCCCGGCTTGACCTCTGTTGGCGTCAAGCAGCCTCCAGAATCTTCCTACTCCCATGATTTCTTTCCTTCCCCCTCTCCCAAAGCTGGGTCGCGACTTGCTCCTTCGAGATGACCCACTTCCAGCATATCGTATATAACAAGGCTCGAAGTCTGAACATTCCATTTCACATACAGTGGAAATCACAGGGCATGAATTGGACATGAATGCTGCATAAGCATTCCATATGGCATATACTTGTACTCTATTTCACGGGATGCACCCTGTTTTCGTACCTCGGCACTTCAAATCAACTAAACTCTTGCGTGTACAATATGCTGCTGTTAACGTTACAAGTTGGTTACTAGATCGTCACTAGATCAACTCAGTCGTGGAATTTCAATGGAAGGCCGGGGGGGGGGGGGGGGGGGGTATCTTTGCCCCTCGAGTCAGCCACCTGCCGTTTGAAGCGCCATTTTAAGGCTGCGTTTCAAAGATGTGCATTCTATAGCGTACGATGAAACGCCATCAAGACGCTGTGCTTTAAACTATGTGCATTCTATGGACTACACTGCAGAGTTACCATAACAGATGTCCCCGAAAAGATGGGTAGTCGAAGGACGGTAGGTTGAACTTGGTGGAATAGAGGGGTACCGCTCGGGGAAGGAGCATCTATGGGAAGTTCCGTTACTTTGATACTGTAACGTTGGCTCCGGTGCATCTTAAGGTGAATCGGAGTACAGCAAGCAGTGGACTCCCCCGCGCACTCTTCTAAGTCCATCAGCCAGTTATTTTGCTATTTTGAAGAATCACGACTTCACCATAATCGGAACCCTGAGATAAGGAGAAATAAAACAACGGAAAGACGACTCTTGTTTCAGGGTTTAGATTATGATGTTTTCTGACCAGCTTACCTGCATACTTTTGCTCCTTACGATTTCAAGGTTCGCTTGATCTCAGTCGGGTGTTCTTTTGAGTCTGAAGCTTGTTTACACAGAACAAGATGGCGATAGAGATAAATCATCCATTGCGGGGAGTCTTCTCGCTTTCTATATGAAGCCCGCTACCTTGTCAAAAGCGTGCCCAGATAAGCATTCCCCCCCACGACCGCTTCAGATGGTCAAATCAAGGTTCCTGGGATACATGCCCGAATCAGATTCCACGTCAAAATGTCCAACGAGACGAAATGTCCAACGGGTCAGAATGTCCAATATTGGACATTTCGTCTCGGTGGACATTTCGTCTCGTTGGACATTTTGACCTGCTTGGACATTTCGTCTCGTTGGACATTTTGACTCTTTGAACATTTCGACCCGATTGGACATTTCGTCTCGTTGGACATTTTAACTCTTTGGACATTTTGACCCAATTGGACATTTCGAATCGGTGGACGTTTTTACCCGATAGACATTTTGACCTCTTTGTATCGTTGGCCCAGACTCTGGCACTGCATAATGCTGAGACGGACGTCTTTAGAATTCCGAATACTTACAGGCGCCCCGGGTTTTCGCTAAAGCGGTAGTAGGGTGATGACTTGAAGAAATCTGACAAACTTTTTTTGGGGAAAACAAAATATTTCTAATCGCAAAAAAAAACAAAAAAAACTAATTTACGTTGCGGACGCTGCTAGTCCGCTAAAATGTAACCCTAGCGGTTGGAAGAAAATGTCAAATTTCAGATTTGTGCTCTGGTTAAAAGGTGGGGGGGGGGGGATTTTTTTTTTAATTAACAAATGGGGCACGTTCCCGGTGACGGACGCTGTTCATCTTCATGTATTCCCGGCTATGTTGACCACCATTTAAGCACTGAAAATTTCTAAGCATTGCCTAAAATTAATCAGACTACGCTATGTTCCAAAAAATTGGCTTAAGTTGCTCCAGCTTATTTTTTCGATGCTTAAAACAGGGTTTCCTTCCTTAACCTGCAAATTAGGAGACACCTAAGGCAATATAATTAAACGTGATGAATAACGGCAGCAAATGCAATAATATATTTTGTAATTAGGATACGGTGATGGATTAGGTGATTGAAGCAAAGTTAAAATAGCGCTAACTAAAACTTTGGATTAGGTAGTTGGTTCACGACTAAAAGGAATGAAAAACGCAAAAAGACACCAACGGAAAAAAAGGAAGGTTGTGTTTTATGTCTTCTTTTTCGTCTGTATCTTTTTGCCTCTACAATGTTATCTTATATTGCGCCAATTTTAATGTATAAAAACCAAGGAGGGTGCTTCGTGCCCAGGTCCACCAGGTTCACATACGGACGTTTGCAGCAGAAGCGTTTAAAACGAGACTCAAGAGGAAATTACTCATTGCACGTGCATTCGTCATTACGTTATTTAAGGCGTACACCTCGAATCTTTCCCCCGGATAGGGCGAGCACATGAATACGCAGTGTGTACGAAGAAACCCAGCATGTTTCAGATTCGGCATCGCATGCTTTGTTCGCTGCCATCCTAGCTTCCTTCCCTCGATAAAGGGGACAGATGACTGCACCCTTGTTATAATTAAAGTCACTGATAGTGGCATTAGTCAGAAGGCCTTGGACAGGGGTCGGCGCATTCTGTGCCTCCCGCAGTTTTTCGCGCGTTTCTATTCCATATCTGACTCGAGCATACTTGATATAAGCAACATTGAACAGGGTTGCAAGAACTTTCATAATAAGCATTCTTAACGCAAGCCATACAGCGTGTATACACCATGGAACGGATAAAAAATGACACGTGGACATTTCGTCTCGGACATTTCGACTCGATGGACATTTTGACCTGATTGGACATTTCGTCTCGATGGACATTTCGTCTCGATGGACATTCTGACCCGATTGGACATTTCGTCTCGATGGACATTTTGACACGGGTGTCACGTGGCCTATTGGACATTTTGACTCGATGGACATTTCGTCTCGTTGGACATTTTGACCAGAAGCCCCCGAATCAGATACTGGAACTGCGCGGTAGTGCCCCTTGCCCTTCCTGATAACGACTCCAACAACCGAACGCCTTCCCCCTTCCCGTATCTAAAATAATTTCTCCTACAGACGAATAAACTGGCGGTCTTCCTTTTTTTCTGAAAAGCCCAGCAAATAATATTTTGTTATGCCCTTACTGACTAGGTGTTTAAAGGGGTCACTATTACCGTTAAGCACCATTCTCAAAATCAATCTGCTATCTGGATTCCAAGAATCACGACGCAGTGAGGTTAAACGAAATAAAATATATTGAACATTGAAAGATGACGGGAACACATAGGGGTCGCTCTCGTCTCATTATTATTTTAATTGTTTTGTAGTATAGTTTCATATGAAGCACTCCTCTATGTGTGAAAAGATTAGCCTGCCTATTAAGGAGATCGTACATGTGCCAATGATCATGCGGAAGTTCACACAATTTGGCAAATAAAAAAAAGTTTCGAACCCTTTCAAAACAAAAAAAAAAATATTAAAGGAACTTCAAGTTGGCATCTATCGCACAAACAATTCAATAATGCTTTCAATTAAACTATTTTTTTGTGTAAATTAGCAACCCCGGTTTCTAAAGAAAAGAGATTTTACGCATATCCAGTATTTCGTGTAATTTTCCGTAACTTTTTGTGGGGGGCAGATATGTTCCAGGATTTACTCATGCATTATGCGGTAAGCTTCTGGATAATCGCTGTTATTCATCTACTAAGCGCGAAGGAAATTACATTTTCTTGGTCTTGTTAAGTAAATTATTTCTAACAGTGTACCCCAACTTTCTCTCTCGAGGAGGTAGGAGAACAGTAATTCACAAATTGCAAAAGCGTCCTTGGGTGGTTATTTGGCAAGTTAATGTAAATTATTGCACTATCTGAACTTTGGAATATGAGGTGACGCGCAGGTCCTGTCCGACACTGATGGCGCAAAGCGAGTAGCGGTAAGCACCGTCATCCTTCGCGTGTGTGATCTACAGTTAATCTGATCAGCCAGACTGCTTGCGCCGTGGCCTTGCGCTTTTAATCGGTGGGACTGGACCTGCCCACCTTCTAGCCTTGGACTACGCTCCGACTTACGATGAAACGAAATACACGAGGTATTGACTACACTCCGTCTCACTAAAACCGTGCAGTACAGCCAAAGCTACAGGAGATAGAGTGCATCACGACCGCTTCAAGACGAGGGAAAGGAGGGACAGGAGAATCCAAGCCCTTCTCTCTCTTTCCTTCTTTCCCTCTCTTTGAACAAGTTGGCATACGCTCCCTCCCCTGTAGCTTTTACTGTACTGCACAGTTTTAGTGAGACGGAATCTAAAGACCCTTGATAACACGCGCACTTCGCGCTTTTGCAAATGTCGCGATGATTTGAAGCATCGATCGTATGACCTTTCAGGTTTCAGAAACCAAATGGCGGTGCACAGTGACATAATGAGCTTAAATACGCCATTTTCTCTAGCGCAATGCGCTTCGTCACGCATATTGGTTGTCGTTATCTGTAAGAATAAAAAAGTACCAACACAATTTAGTATGGGATGGATATAAGACTAAAAAATGCGGTGTTTATTGCAGCGTCTTCTGTGCACCCTTGCAGTGCACGTCACCGAGACAAAAACGGCCGAGTCCCTGTGCTGTGGAATTATACGCGGCTTTTGATAATCAAAAGAAGAGAGCTTGCTAGTGAGCATGCTCAGATCTCGTTCCACGGCCCAGTAGTCAAAAATGGCAGCGCGCAGAAAGCGATCATTGGAATGCACTATTGCAGAACAACTACCACTGACTCTAGGCTGCTCGAACAGAAAGTTTGAACTGAAGGTTTCTGAAGCGGCCGATTAGACTTCGGCGACGAAAGCACGGCGTCACCGTCGCGAGAGTCCAAGCGACTCGCTCGTTAAACTTCGGCCACAACTTCATGTCTGGCGAGTTTAGGGCCCCAGGGACTGCAAGTACTCACGGGGTCAAGCCTGGCGTCCTTGAACACGTCGGGGCTTCCGCCTAGAAACCCATCGATGATGTTGACCGCGGATCCGACGCCCGCGAGCGCGCAGAGGCAAGCGCCTGCGAGAAACAACCAACGTCCAAATCCCGCCAATGTCATCTCGATCTACCCTCCGGTTCCGCACCTTCACTGAGGAGTCGCAGGCGTCGGCGGGCTCCGACCAGGAGTTCGGTAAGTCCCATTTCGCGAGCAGCAATTCTCTTGAAGTCACGCTCACATCAGCCGCCCGACCGTGTCGACCAGCTGGCGAACAGTCAATAAACAGAGGAAGCGAAAACAAAAACTGACGCTAGTTGCGCCGATGTGGCCCCTTTCCAACTCGATGACGTTATCTTACGGCCGCGAAGGAAGAGGGCAGTTTCCTTGTCTCGGGGGCGCGTGACGTCATCGAGCAGTGTTGACAGACACTTCACACGGATAGCGTTCGGGAAGGAAACGACTTTCTTATACTCCGCACACGGTTTCGGTGCGGTCACCCACATACATTTGTTATGTCGACTGCTACGCTCCGTGTCAAGGACACACAGCCGGCCGTCTAACGGTGCCGCAAGCTTGCCTCTTGAAAATAAAACTGGGTCGAGAAACTGAAGCTAGAGACGCGATTGGTCGAGTTAGAACGCATGGGAAGGAGGGTGGCTTATCGGTAGCTCCATTGAGGAATTCCTGCCAAGCGCAACTTCGCGGAGTAAGGGGTTAGGCGCGCACATAATGTGTCGCCGGAACAGATCCCACTTATCAGAAGAGCGACAGTTTTTACTCGATCGTCGGTTATCAGCCCCGAGGCGAAGCACTCGCGACCACTTGATAAAAATAAATTACGTATTTTTCACGATAAAAAAATAACAGTTTTTTTTTCTTTTTTTTTAAATTTAGATGCTGCGTCTTACAAATGTGAGGTATATGTCTTTCTTTTTTTGTAAGTACGGATCTTGCCTTCATAACTTTGCGAGTTAAATTTTCTTTCGTTCGATTCCGGTTGGCAAGAATACTGAAACTGGCTTCCCGCTCGAGAATAATATACCTAATATATTGCGATCACAATCCACATATGCGGTCTTATGAACGCGGTCCGAATAAATACATATGCACACCACAATAAAGACGTATATTCTTACACCCCTTGTCACACATAATCTCCCGCAAAGCTTCAGTTTGACGTACAGCGCACTGACGTAAACCTATGGTATCAACTTTAACGATCAGCTTGATAGCTGGGTCATACAGTGAAAAAAAGAACGTAATCGGGGTTTTCTTGGCCACACTGCAAAACTTACGTGTTTTTTTATTTCTGTACTCTTTGATACGTACTTTAACCGTTGAATATATTACATCCCACCGTCATCAAGCCTTTCGTAAAAGCTGGGGCCGTCAGTTCGACGTTAGTGCGCTGTCCGTCGAACTTAAGTTTTGAGGTGTTTTATTTCTGAAAAAGAATGTAATGGGGGGGGGGGGGGGGTAACACCTTTTATTTTTAGGGTAGGTTTCACGTTTTCGTGAAAATGACCTTTTAATAGGGGAATTCGACATAGAGACGGGAAAAATACGATAATCGTTTTACGCATGTGCGTTCAGTAAAAAAACAACTCCTTCGTGAACAAGGTCGAAAACGGGAAGGAAGCAAAAACAGCGTGCAAACGTAATACATACACACACGTCTCATAAAAGAATACGACGCTGACCAGAATCCGTGGCCTTCCCGTGGAGATCGCTCATCCGACCGCAGTCAGATAAGGAGCTTCGTTGTGACGACAGCCGCGACAATGGAGAGCGCGGCGTCGCTCTGCCGTGGTAGAACCAGCGCGCTCGAGTTGCGATTGTACGGCACGTGACGTGCCGCCGCATTGGGCGGTTCTACCCTGAAAACGGCGCTGACAAAAGATTTGGCATTTACACTACGTTTTGGGCCTAGCACCCCACAAAGATAGCGCACAAAGGGAGGTTGACAATGGTTGGATGCATAAATAGTTCGTTGTTCGAGTGTCATCTTCGTGCTCTTCCAGACACGTTGAGCCTGAGGCAAATTGGAGAACTTCGTGTGATAAAACAAACTATACCGAATTGACTTATCCCTAATCAACGTTTAAAAGAACGCTTCGTCTCCAGTATATAAGTGAATGCGTCAGCGATGCGAAGGTTGCATGAATAAAAAGACAGGACAACCAGTGGCGAAAATCTTGTGATTTGCCTCAAAATCGGTTGAGCACATTAGTAGGCACATCTGAAATAGTGACGTATGCATCAAGTCACGATAGTTTTTTTTTTTTTCGCGAAGTCATTATTTGTTTTTCTAGATATTTGTTTGAGATTCTGAGAGGGCCTACTAGAAGCGCTGAAAACGTGACGCCAAATGTTGTAATTGGAGAAATGCTGCTTTTTCTCGACGTGTCATTGGAAATTTGATGTCGTGAAATGAGTTCTGGAAAGGCCGACATGAGCAAAACAAAAGAAAATACGCAGAATACGTTTTTGTAGTCTGCTTCATTGGCTCTCTAGCTAAACAACGTGTGACGTCACCCCATTGAAGTACTATTAACATTTTAATATTAACTTTGGCATACAGTTTATTTGTTTGCATTTTTGTATGTTCAAAAAACTATTTTTAATTTAGTTTAAATAAATCACATCTCGGGAAAAGAAAATCATGTGTATTCCATAAATCAGTTTAGTTTGGCTTAGAAGTATGCACTTGATCGGTTAACCTACCATTTTTTTGAGTCATGCTTTCATACCGATGATTTTTGTTCTAACTGGTCAATCGGCAAAATATTGACGAACTTAAAAAAAGACGAGTAAAACTTTCTCACCAAGCGTACATGGACGATTACATCTGTATCAAGGCAAACTTTAGGTGAAATTTTCAGCTGAGGTAAACTGTAGGGGAGAGATTTGTAACTCCAAGCTAGTGAAGAAGGTTATATGTTTCCCTGCCACTCCAACACCGTGCGAATGTCCTTTTAGTGCAACAGAGACTTTTGCGAACGATCAATGTAGTTTGCTATTGACGAAGGATATAAAGAAACCTCTTTGCCTCCGCGGTTGATGTAATAATTTGTGAGTGTAGATGTTTTTTTGCTGTTCTCAACTACATATTGATTATAAATTCGAAATTGTACATTGCCCTGTCAAGCTCTTGACAACCGCAAGAGTAAAAAATAAAATTTCGACATTTTTTTTAAACTATTATGCAAGGCAATTAACACAGCCGATTAATCGATTCAAGGGTAGCGGTTATTTAGGTTAATTTCTTTCATCGACACCCAGCCTTAGCTTGGTACTCATAAATATCGCTGGACACATCGGTTGGCGTGACATGCCGATGAATAGATTTCGCATGCACCACGACTTCATGTATCTTCGAGGCTTCTGCCTTAATCACGCCTAAAGGCTGGCGTATTCTCGTTCAGTCTTTGACCTTGTTGCGAGCCTGGTTTAGTCAGATCTCGCGTATGTTGTCTTTGAGACAGGTGCTACATTTTCGGCCGGTCTAAAGACGTAGTATGATGCTATAGAATTAAGAATGTTTAATTTGTGGAGAACAACACGTTCATTGCTCTTTGAGAACAGTTCGTCGGTATTACACTGTAGGTGTAATACCGAGGAAGCTGCTCGAAGACGCCAGGCGCCAATTTGGCAGCGGCAGCGGCGATGGTAGCACACTGACGGCTAACTCTTGCCTGTGCTGCTTTCAGTTTCTACGATCGCCGGGTGTCTGGACTGCTATCGGAAACCTGAAAGCCTTCGATTTCGGACCTGCACCGATAACTCAGCGTGGCAAGTCATCGCACGGTACAGACCATTCAACGTCATCGCCACGTGCCACAGTCGAACATCTTGAAGGCTGCGGCAGCGCCGCCCCAAGTCTGCTGTAAAAGGGCTGCTCGAAGACGCCAGGCGCCACTTTGGCACCAGCAGCGGCGATGGTAGCACGCTGACGTCTAACTCTTGCCTGTGCTACTTTCAGGTTAGCTTTGTATTTTTTTAGTTTCTGTGGGTGATTTCCGCCGCTGCTGCTGCTGCTGCTGCTCCCAAATACCAGCTTGTTTTGAATTGTTGCCTGCGACTAATATGTCCGACGACAAAGCTGATGGTTGTTCCGGTTGTGGTATAGCCTTCCGCGATAATGGAAATGTTCTATCTTGCTCGAAATGTGGCCATTCTTTTCACTTGGGCGACTGTTCTGGTGTAGCTGAAACGACCTTTAAGTCAAAAGGCGAGAGTTATAAAAAGGCCTGGCGGTGCCCTGCTTGCAAACCGGGGAGGACAAAGGGGAGCCAGCCAGTCAAACGTGATGTAGCAAGCCTGCTTGCGGAAATCAACCGCAAACTAGACAGCATAAACCCCTAAAAGGGACCGTAGACAGCATTGAAAAAAAAATTCAAGAAGTCTCTGAGAAGTACGATGGCGTCCTAAAAAACCAGGCTCGGCATGATAAAGAAATCAAAGAACTGAATAAGCGTATGGAAGCTGTAGAAAAGGTGAGCAAGGCTAACGAAATCGACCGATTGAGGCAAGAAGTGAACAATCTTGAATGACAAAGCAGGAAGTTAAATCTGGAGGTTCACGGCATCGCTAGAGTGGAGAACGAGAACTTGCTTGACAAGACAAATCAGGTAGCGTCCAGACTGCAACTTCCACCGCTATCGGAGAGTGATATCGTTGCCCTTCACAGATTACCCACGAAGCCCGAAAATGTGCCTGGTGTAATTGTCCGGTTCACCAGGCAAGCCACGAGGGAGCAGTGGCTGAATAACAGGAACAAATTGTTGGGAGTTTTTATCGTGGAAAACAGGACGAAGCAAAACAGAGCGCTCTTTTTGGCGGCAAAATAGTGGGCCAAAAGGACTGGTTTTCGTAATGTCTGGCATCGAAACGGAAGCGTTCTAGTACGAAAACAAGATCGCGAACGTGCTATTGTTGTAAGAAGCGAAGACGATCTGTTGAGGCTACAATAAGTAGTGCTGTCTTTCTTTTCCAATTGTTTTTAAAGTTGTTTCTTTTTTGTTTTTATGGAAACTGCAACTCCATTACTTCCGAATGAACTAAAACGCAAGCTTGATCTAGAATGCAATTCTCATTTAAAGTGCTTCTGCTTAAATACGCAGTCAGCAGTGAATAAAACGACTGACCTTGAATTACTTTTCCATCAGTTCGGTGCTCTCCTTGATACAGTCATGTTTACTGAGACCTGGTATACTGATAATTCAGATGTTTTCCGCTTACCGTCATATGACACGTATGTTTTAAATCGAACTTCCAAACGCGGGGGAGGATTGGCTCTTCTGGTTAAAGACGTAATCGATTGTAATCTTTTGAGTGACTATTCATTTATCACGAAAGATGTCGAGGTATTGTGTCTACGAAATAATCGGAATATTTTGCTGTTTTCTACCGCCCACCAGATGGTAATGTTTCTGCCTTTTTTGAATTTTTTGAAATATTTTTAGAGTATGTAAATGAAAATAAATATAACGTTATTTGCAGCGATGATTTCCATATCGACATGTTTTCGGATAGTGTCTCGCAGAGAGAAATGGAGAGTCTTATTAGTATGAATG